TCAAGGCCTCCCCCTAGGCCTGAAGAGAAGCCATTCCCTCCCCACTCCAAGAGGAGCTTGAAGAACAGCAGGGCTTGGCTGTGCCTCCCCTGGTACTCCATAAACTCCTTCATGACCATCAGCTTGGGCTGGAATGCTAGAGTGAGCTGGCTGTGAGTCACATCTCTTGCCTTTTCCTTGTTGTATGACCTCAGGCAATGACTTAACCTATCTGAATCTCAGTTTCTGTATCTGTGAAATGAGATAATAACACCCATGGGTGTAAGAGGCAAAGGAGTCCTATACCCATCCAGACCTGAAGTCTCTGCAGCAATGAACAGGAGACCATGCAGGCCTGTGGCTCCTTGGTGGACTCAACAGTTTAGAGCCCCCTTGTATCTTCTTTTCTCAATAGAACTAGAATTCCATAAATATGAATAATTTCTGTTTCTAAGTAGAACTGGAGTCCCAGAGTCTTGGATGAGTCTTTAACATAGAATTTAAAATGGGAGTCAGAACACCCAGGTTCACTTTCAGCTCTGCCTCAGACTTGGTGAATGTACTAGGGCAGAACACATGCATCTCTGGGCTTCAGTTTCCACAGGTATCAAATAAGCGAAATTATTTGACCCAGAACTTAATTCTAAAATTCTAAAATAAGGTTATTTCAAGGTAGGAGTAGCATTCTGAATAGCAAGCATTTTCAGAAAATGCTTTTGTCCCCCAAAGTTCCTTCACAGGCTGAGAGATTGATACATGAGTTAGCATGAGTGTGGATGTTCTTCCAGGAGCTCCGGCACCTGTAACTCTAGAAATCCTTCATTCAACCGCATCACTCTCACCTTGTAGTTTTCTGTTTCTTTTTACATCATAAAAGTAAAAATAAAATTCAGTTCACTTTTTATCTGGGCACTAGAAGATCCTCCCAGTTAACATTTTGATCTTTATCTTTTGTCTTTTTTTCTATGAATGCATGTGTTTGTTTCTGATGGGTCTTAAGGAATAGATCTGAAGCATTCTTCTAGACTTGGGGCACACAGCCATGAATAAAAAAGACAAGACGTTTGCCCTCATGGAAATTAAGTTGAGTTAGAAAGAAATATATAAATACTCCAGTAAGTAAAGTAATCAATCAATAAATTAGTTTAAAATATACTTAAATTTATAAGTAGTGTCAAGTCCTGTGAGGAAAAATTAAGTCGAGCAGAGGTTGGCTGGAGAGTGATTGGGAGGTGAATTGGGAGCTGTTCTAGTTAGCATGAGAAGAGAGAGAGGTTGATTCAGGCAGATGAAAACAAAGCCTCTGCTTATCTGAGAAACAGTAAGGAGGCCAGTGTATCTGAAGCATAGAAATGAGGTTGGAGAGGCAGCAGGGGCCAGGTCTTGTAGGATCAGCTAAGACTATGGCTGTATTCTAAAAGGTTTGGAGCATTAAGAACCATAAGTGACATGATCCAAATTGCACTTAAGAATCTAAAAGGTGAGTGATTATCACCTTTTATGGATGTTCAGGGGAGCACAGTAGCTCTATACCATAAGCAGTAGGCTGTGAACCACAAGATTGGTAAATCAAGCCTACCAGCCACTCCATGGAAGAAAGATGAAACCCTATACAGGGTCACTGTGAGTCAGAACTGACTTGACAGCACTTAACAACAATGTATGGTCAGAGAGGTTAATTCACCTGTCTGAAGGCTGATGAATAATGGAGCTGTACCTGAACCCAGATCTGTCTGGCCATAGGAACTGTGTGCCTCCCACTGTGCTATAAGACCTCAGATTATCTAGGTCACTTGCCTAGTGTTAGGAACGCCCACACAACTACAGTTCTTCCAAATACTGTGGCGTGAACACCACTGAAACTGTGTGTTGTCCAGGTCTCTGGGCCCAGGAGGCTCTTCAGGACTCACCCTAAGGGAAGGTATTCACCAATAGTGAGAACCTAAGGAGCTCTGGTAGCATAGTGGTTACGAATTGGGCTGTGAACCCCAAGGTCAGCAGTTCGAAACTACCAGCTGCTCCACAGGAGAAAGATGAGGCTTTCTGCTCCTGTAAAGATTTACAGCCTCGGAAACCCTGTTCAGGGTCGCTATGGGTCGAAACCGACTTGACGGCACTTAACAACAACAACAACAAGCGGGACACTAAACAAGACTTGGGGATGGGAACTGAATAATTTCACTGTGAAACTTACATTT